AAAGAATTTCAAGGTTTCAAAAATCTGAGATCCGTAGACGTCAATAGTTGTGACTGTTTGAAATATTTATTGTCACCTACTGTGGCAAAATTGGTTGTGAATCTACAAAAGCTAAATGTGATGAATTGCAAGGCGTTGGAAGAAATCATGTCAATGGAACAAGATAGTTCCATGACCAACGTTGTGGAAGAAATACCGACTAAGATTGTGTTCTCACAATTGAGCAGTCTAGAACTTGTAGATCTAGAAAATCTCACTGCTTTTTGCTCCGGAAAGTATGAATTTCAATTTCTTTCCTTAAACAGAGTGGTCATTTGCAACTGCAAAGAAATGAAGAATTTCTTTTCCGGACCCCATTGCACACCAAAGCTTGGAAGAGAAATTGTAGAAATTGACAAAACATCAGTATGTGAGACAAAGATACAATTTGTAGTCAATTCAAATTGTCTTTTGTTACCTGGTTTTGTAAGAAGATAATTATGCATGATATTGTCAGAACAATGCTACTTCTTTGCCTATTTGCACTCCAAATTGGATGTCTATCATCACTTCCTTGTTATAAAGCTTTCTAGCAGAAGACAAAGAATAAGAAAAAGCATAAAAAGATGAACAATAAGAAAAAGCAGAAGAAGATGAACAATAAGAAAAAGCAGCAGAAGATCAAGTCAACGAAGCAGAACAAGATGAAGCAACAACTTTAAGACTAAGGAAAGATGTTCGCTTTGAGTTTGTGTGTGTGTGTCAAATTAATATACGTTTGTGTAACTTTTTTGTTGTAACTCACTAGTTAAATGACACTCTAATAGCATTATATGTCCCTTTCCTTGAGAAATGTCTTATTTGATTTGTGGAATTTCAATTCTGAGGTTTGTTTAGTTAGGCCTCATATTGCTACAGATGGAGATTTGTCTTTGATAGTCCGAATTGTAACGGGATGGACCATGTAGTTATTCAAAGTGGTTGAGAGAGTTGTTTGGATGAACAACTACCCTCCTTAGGCTTCTTAGTTTATTCATTGTTAGTAGTATAATTTTCTAATGACCATTGAGCTTTCTGGTAATATATTTATTGTATCTCTTGTGGTCTTCTCTTGTGGTCTTCTATTCATCCTATTGTGAATGTTTTGTTACATACTATAGATGCATTATTTGAAAGTTTCTTTTTCAAAAAAAAAATGCCTACACAAGGATTGTAATAGTTCATTCTCAATTTTAATAGTGATCTACCAATTAAATTAAAAAAATGCTCAGAGGGATCTTGCTCACAGGCTAAAAGAAAAACATCATTTGGGAAACATACTGATTTAAGCATTCGAACCGATAACAAAATAAACTTAACAACTCATTAAATTATGTGATTCCAAAACAATAAAACTATTTTATTATAATATAGGAGTCACAATAAAGAACAGTGCAGGTTTTATCATCTAAACATGATTTCCAAAATTGTTTCCTTACATACTATGATTTCTAACTTATTTACTACTTTACTATTATTTGCACTTTGCAGTGGCATATCTTGTTTGTAATTTAATAATTTTATTTCAAAATTCTAAAAAATATATATGCAGCTATGTATTGAATTGTTAAATTTTCTATAAAGTTCTTTTCTTTCCATTAATTAAAAATTTTATGTCGGTTGGAAATTTGTGTCAAACCGTTACAACTTGGGGCCTTTAACTTCAAATGGTTTGAACTTTCTTTTTTAAAAAAAATTTGATGTGTTCGATTGGACACTAGCCAACATGTAGGGGACAAGCCACAATAATTTGCCATTAGCTGCATGTTAACCCACCCAGCCTTCAAGCTGGTGAAGCATAGGGCTCGAAGTTGAACTCCTCATCACACTCAGGCAGTCGACAAGGAAGTAGACCAATTGCTTGAAGTACAGTCCATCAAGGAAGTTCAATTCTCTAAATGGCTATCAAATACTGTCTGTGCTAAGAAAAAAAGTGGGAAATGGCAGGTCTGCATAGACTTCACATATCTCAACAATGTGTGCCCCAAGAACGACTACCCTTTCCCAAAGGTTGATCAGTTAGAGGATCAATTGCGGGATATGAACACATGAATTTCATAGATGCCCGAATAGGTTACCACCAGATCTCATTGTATGAAGTTGGTCAGGAGAAGACGACCTTCATAATTCCTGGGGGATTTATTATTGTAAGGTGATGTCGTTCAGGCTGAAGAATGTTGGTGCCATGTATTAGCGTTCGATGAACAAAATGTTTAAGGAATGGCTTGGCACCACCATAGAAGTCTACTGTAGAGATCTAAAAAATGAGGACAATTTTTTCGTTTTGCTGGTAGGGCACTATTCATGCATCATTTGCCGGTAGGACATTATATATAAATCATTTAGGCATAAGTCATGTTTAAGAGCATAATTTAAGTATGTCATAGAAGAGAAACATACTTACAATGTTAAAATACACATACTGTGTGAATTTGAGTCTAAATGAAAATAATATCAAAAATTTGACCAAAAGGGAATCTCGAGTGGAACTAGTCAAACTCGGCCACAAGTGAAAATCTATTTTTTTTGAAGATTTTTATTTAAAATAATTTTAAGAACTTTGGTTAAAACAAAATTTCAAATTGAAGCATTTTAGGATGGGTTGTATTGTAACAGAGTCTTGGATTCATAAGGGCAAAAGGATCATTTTACACCTTTACTCCTCCACTATAAATTCATCCCCCTTAGTATAAAAATATCATTTTTTTGGTTTGGAGAAAGAGAAGAACACTTCATGGAAAGAAAGTGAAGAAAAACCCTAGGTTCTCCAAGTTTCAAGCCACAAAAACACACTTCTAGGCCAAAATTCTTGCAAGACTTCCTTCTAAGAAGTTGTTCCTCTCAACTAAGACTATATTCTTACCAATCAGTTTAGCTGCACAGCGAACACAACTCTCTCAATTTGAGAAAAACCATTTTAGCTATGATATTTTACTAAGTTAGGAATAGATTTAAGTTTTCTTGTCTTTCTATCTGTTGATTGAATGATTTAGGTGTTTACTTGATGTTAGAAAATCACTTAGGTGATAGTTACTTTGAAAACTGAGAGTTAGTAGTTTAGCTACTTTTGTGTTCTTTGAGTTTCTTGACAATTTGTTACTATGATAAAGGTGTACCTTGCATATGTGTTGGATTATTATATTCTAGCTTATATTCATGCAGAGAAACTCTTGTGGTTTGAGAGTTATGATTTATTCCATGAGTTGGTAGTTTGTGTATTTATATTTTTTTTAAGAAATTGTAAAAGTAATGAACATGAAACTTGATCATAAGTTTAATTTATTGAATTGTGCCTCACATTCATGTAGACAAAGTGTTGTGAATTTGAGGTTATGCTTCACTATTGAATGAGGCATATTTTAAGTTATGCGTCATGTGTTGATGAAATGCTCCATAGAATTTATATTGAGAAAAATCAAGGTATCTTGACATACATGAATCCTTGGAAACATGGCGTGGATTGAGCACTTGGGACTATGCATTATGAGGGTGTAGATCCTGTGGTGAAAAATTCAAAATCTGGTTAATGACAGTACTCGCTGATTGATAGGGGCGGACCGTGAAATGAGACATGAGTGGCATAGAGTTGTATTTGTGTGTCATGCATATTGACATTGCATAGCATTAAGGGATTACGGGGTTGTAGCTTTTAAAATGTACACTTGCACATGTCACGTCTTAAATTTGTTTATAGTATTTTTTCATACCAACCGTTGAGCTGACCCATTCATGGGATATCATATTACAGATGAGACTCCCGGTACTTGAGACTTGAGGAAGTTTTAAAGGAAGAAGACTTGAATGAACACTTGGCCCTTGGGACATATTTAGTATATGTGGGCATGAGCTCAAATGACTTGTAATTCAATTTGAAAAAGTAGTGGATTATAGGCCTTGAGTCATTTTAAAGTGTAAGAGTGTAAACCCAATTGATATGTAGGATATCTTTATTTAATGAGTATCACATGTGTATATTGAGACAACTAGATGTGTATGCTAAAAACAAGGGATGTATGTTTAATTTACATGGATTGTGCCTAGCGAGTGAGGGTGGGTTTTGATATACTTATACATATGAAGTATTGTAAATATTAGGCGGAAAAAAAGCTTCAAAAATAAAGGAGGTTATGTTGATATTTTATGAACAATTAAAAGACTTGTTAGGTGTGTAAAAACACCTTTTAAATAGGTGGGAATAATGTCAAAAGGGGGGGGGTTAGAAACCTTGAAGAAATAGGCAAAATATGTAAGGAAAGTGAGTTGAAAAACTTTTGAAAAAAATGGGAAAAACATGGAAAATGAATGAAAAATTAAATTATCCAACTTAATGACCTTTCATTTACTTTTCTTCTTCCTTTTCACTCACTCCAAGGGTTTGTGGACCATTTGGGGCGTGACATCTACATTGCCGACATGCTAGTAAAAAGCCGAACCAAGGCCAATCACCAGAGAGACCTTGAAGCAACCTTCAATATTCTTATGAGATATGGTCTGAGGCTGAATGCATCCAAATGTGCCTTTAGGGTTAGCTCGGTCAAGTTCTTGGGCTACCTGATCATTCACTGTAGGATCGAAGCTAATCCTGGCCAGATACATGCAATACAATAGATACAAGCTTATAGAGATGCTGACAGCCCTTAACTGTTTCATTTCCAAATAGTCGGACTAGTGTAAACCCTTTTTCTTGGTGCTTAAGGGGTTGTCGAAAGGTTCTTGGGATATGGATTATGATTCGGGCCTCGAGGCAATCAAAGTTATCTGAAATCCTCTCCAACTTTCTCAGTGCCTACACTTGGCGAGGTGTTGATGCGCGATCGGTGGGGCGCTAGTGACGAAACTTTGAAACTGGTAAAAGACCAATATATTATGTTAGCAAAGCCCTCTTCGATGCCGTGATGAGGTACTTGCTAATGGATAAGCTCATACTTGTGTTGGTCACGTCGGTGAGGAAAAAAGTTATCCTCATCGGGGTCACAAAAGTTTTAATTCTCAGCGCCACCTTCCTGACCACTACCGCCACTAGCACCACCAACACCACCTCGCCTCCTCTCTAGCACACCTTTATTCCCGAGGTTAGAGAGTAGATCCTCAATCCCCCCGAACTCCACTAAATTCGGGTTGACATCAGGGGTCTTAGGAATAACAGGGTCTATGGGATGAATAGAGAGTCCAAAAGAAAGAAGCTAGATGGGAGACATCACACTATCACTTGAGTCCCCATCACTTAGCAAGATTGGCTCATTGGGTGCTCCTCCATCCCTCACTGGATTCTTGGCCACCACATCCTACTGGCCTATTGGAGGGGCGATCTCACCAAGCACTTGTTGGGGAACGTAGAGGTGCTTTGAGAAAAGCTCGGAGTCAACATCGACCCCTTGGGTCCAAAGTGCCTCATCCCATCCTTTCTTGAAGGACTTATTCTGACCATCAATAAAGGCTGAGAAGAATTGGTCTTGGCTTTGGTGGAAGATCTCGAGGTGAATTTTGTTCTCTCTGTCCTCGGTCCTAGCATGTTCCTCCACCAAGCCCTTAACCTTAGAAGTCAAGGCATCATAGTTAGCCTTGGCCTCAAACAATTTGGCCTCCACTTTCGAGACCTTGAGTTCGACCTTATTCATCATTCTCTTTGCCTCAACCTCTAAATTCTTGCTCTTCGCCAGCTCAGAAGAGAGGTTAAGGTATGCCCAATAAGGTCACTGATGTTTTTCACCTCATTAGCCACTGTCTTCTCCACTTGGCCAATGTGGTGGTCTTTCTTAGCAAGCTCGGATTGGGCTTGGTTGGTCTTAGTCCGATAGTCTTAGAAGTAGTCAATGATGATCCCCATCAACTTACCATCAAGTTGTGTTAGATCACCCCCTAAAGGAGGTGGTTATCAGAGTAGTCCTGATGAGTGGCCATGGCGGCCTCAAAATGAAGGGACCCACTGACCACCAAGACCACATTTGCCGAGTGAATGATGATGTTAGTTAGCATGACAGCCTTGTCTTTCTGGGTGACTACTCAAAGGGCCCATTCCTCGGCTTTAGGAGCCCGGTATGGGGAGTCCTGTTGGCTTTTCACCTTGTGCTCGGTGGTAGGGCCGTCTTCTCACCCCCGGCGTTACCCGCGTCAAGCACCAACTTGATCAGAAGGGAGGATGACTTGTTTGGAAAGTGGGGGAGGGTCTCAAAATTGCCGTTGTTACTGCTACTTGACCTTGGCATACCCACAATACAAAGGATAGACGAAGATATATAACAAAATGATGTTAGTAGGGATTAAGAGAGGACAAAAAAAAAGGCAAAGGTAGGTGGACTAAGGAATTGTTCAACGTCTTATGGGCATACATAACCTCTTCAAAGACATCTACAGGAGAGACTCCTTATGCCATGGAAAAATGGGGTGGAAGCAGTCATACCCCTGAAAATGAGACTCTCAACCATACGAAACCATGCTTTTGAATTTGGGGATCAGACCTTGGAAAGGAATCTTGATTTAGTCAAGGAAAGAAGAGAGGTAGCAGCTATACAAATAGCTAATACTAGGATGGGGTATCCAGATAGCATAAGAAGAAAGTTCGAGCCAGAAGCTTCCAGGTGGGGGACCTAGTGCTCCAAAACGTGGTGGGAGGAACTTGGGAACCAACCAATGGGAAGTTTAGCCCTAATTGGGAGGATCCGTACACAGTCACCGCCATGGGGAGCACAGGGTCTTACAAACTCGAAGACATGGAAGGGAGGGATGTGGCTTGCCCATGAAATATTTTGAATTTGAAGAAATATTATTACTAAACAAGTCTTGAGATACACTTCAATGCAGCTGGATAACATGATACTCGGGCTCGGTTGTTTAAGGCATGACCCCAAGAGGGGTAAGCCTTCATAAATGAAGCACTGCCCTTGAATAGATAACACGAGCCTAAGATTTGGTCATTAGGGGTATGGTCCCGAGAGAGCTAAGCCTTCACAAATGAAGAACCGCCCTCGAATTGATAACATGAGCATCGATCTCGGTCGCTAAGGGCATGGCCCCGAGAGGGGTAAGCCTTCATAAATGGATGAGGCATCACCACCGGATTAATCTTTGAAAAGAAAATTTTGAAAATAAAGGAAAGTTTAGTTAAAGCCCAAATACCATTGAAAGAGTTAAGGGCTTTGTGTCCCCCAAAGCAACAAAACCAATGGAGACCAAAAAGAAAAAATAAAATTTATCCCCATTGGGGTCACGAAAGTTTTAATTCTCAGCGCCACCTTCTTGGCCGCCGCCGCCGCCACTGGCACCACCTTGCCTCATTTTTAGCGCACCTTTTTCCCCGAGATTAGAGAGTAGATCCTCAATCTCTCCAAACTCGCTCAAATTCAGATTGACATCGGGGGTGTCAGGAACATTGTTCTCTGGGATGAATAGGGAGTGCAAGAGAAGGAAGCCAAAGGCGAAACATCACACTATCACTTGAGTTCCCATCACTTAGCGGGATTAGCTCATTGAGGGCTCCTCCCTCCCTCGTCGGATTCTTGGCCGCCACGTCCTACTGGCCTTCCGAAGGGGTGATCTCACCAAGCACCTATTGGGAAACATAGAGGTGCCTTGAGAAAAGCTCGGAATCAACATCCACCCATTGGGTCTGAAGTGCCTCATCCCATCCTTTCTTGAAGGACTTGTTCTGACCATCGGTAAAGGCTGGGATGAATTGGTCTTGGCATTGTTGGAAGATCTCAAGGTGAATGTTATTTTCTCTATCCATGGTCCTAGCATGTTCCTTCACCAGGCCGTCGACCTAAGAAGTCAAGGCCACGAAATTAACCTCTACCTCGAACAACTAGACCTCCACTTTCGAGACCTTGAGTACGGCCTCATTCATCCTTCTCTCTACCTCAGCCTCTGAAGTCTTGCTCTTCACTAGCTCAGAAGAGAGGCTGAGGTACGCCTAATAAGGTCACTGATGTTTTTCACTTGATCAACCACTGTCTTCTCCGCTTGGTCGATGCGGTGGCCCTTCTTAGCAAGCTCGGACTAGGCCTGGTTGGCCTTAGTTTGATAGTCCTAGATATGGTCAATGATGACCCCCATCTGCCTGGTATGTCTAAAAAGGATGTCAGAGTTAAGGTGCAAAGAAAAAGAAAAAGACAAGAAAAGGGGAAATATTTGAATTAGACTTCAACTTACCACTAGGTTGTGTTGGATCACCCCCTAGAGGAGGCGGTTATCAGAGTAGTCCTAATGAATGGCCATGTCAGCCTCAAAATGAAAGGACCCATTGACCACCAAGATGACATTCGCCGAGTGAATGATGGAGTTGGTTAGCATGACGGCCTTGTCTTTCCGGGTAACTTGTCGAGGGGCCCATTTCTCGGCTTTAGGGGCCCGGTATGGGGAGTATTGTTGGCTCTTCAAGCTGCGCTTGGTGGCAGGGTCATTTTCTCACCACCAGGGTTGTTGTTATTGTCTTTGTTGTTGCTGTTCTTACTGAATTTGTCGTTGTTGGGAAGTGGCAAGGGCGGCTGTCCTAGAGGTCTTGCCCGTTCTAGAAGCAGCCGCCCTTTTGGCCGATGCGGTAGCCTCCAAGCCCTTGGCGGTGATTAGAGGAAAATGAAACATCTAAGATTCTGAAGGAGTGTGGGAGTCAAAAGTAGATGGGGTGGCTTCAGAGTCTCAATCGGGGTAGCCTGTCTAAGTTGGCTTTTTCCTCTTCTGAACAATCTAGGCAGATAAACAGATCAAAGGGCTCATAAACTTGGGAAAAGTGAGTATAGCCTAGCATGTACCCTATAGCTTTTGCTCATAAATGCTCGGAAATTGGCTACAGACATTTAATTAGAGCACTTAAGGGTCGGGGATGAAGTCACAAATGCACTATCCATTCCATCATGTAAACTCGGATGTCCAATCACCCAACATTAATGACGTGTGCAGAATATCACTTATTATGCTAGGCAATGAGCATAGGCTACTAAAGTCTAGGATTGGAATCCAAATGGGAGCGACATCATTACAATCCAAGGTATAAATACCACATCAAAATAGAATTCAGGTATGCAAGCAAGAATAGCTTTGCACTGTACATGCTCTCATATTTAAGCACCGACTGACTTAAGCATTGGAGAGGTTAAGCAAGGTGCGCACTTGACCCTTTATTCTGACATCATTCCCTGTTTCTGGATCGACCATCGAGCTCACCCAAAAAGTTGCTATCTCAATCCATTTGCAGGAAATCTCCCGTGCAACATCAATCCAATTTTATTGGCAATTGTGAGAGCAATTCTTTTTGCTTCGGCTCGGCTTATTTCATCACCATCCATTGCCATTAATGACTTTTACTGACGTTTGAATGGCGGTGTTTTTTACTATACAATGAACCGGCGTTTATTTAACTGACGATTACCTTGTCAAATTCCGATGACTAAAGAGATGTCACGACATTTATTTAAACATTAGGAATACCTATTTCTGGAATAACTTGTTTATGGCGTTTAAAGAATCACTGGGTATTGTTTGTTTTATTTTTATTTTTTTTTATTTTTATAATAAATCCTAGTTGTCAATATTTATATAGCATCATCATTCACACATCCAACAAAATATAACACAGAAAATACAATCAAATAAGTCTCACCGTATATCCATTGGTCATATTGAATTGGAATGGAGGAGTTGAACAATAAAACTCTTATGCCAAAAAAAAAAAAAACCTAGCATATTTCACGGCAGCGGCAAGGTGCAGGGTAGATTGGAATCCATGAACGGCTGAGCTCAAGTATAAGATGTCCAGGGAAGATTAACTATGACAATCCAAACTACCACTCCCATGAAGATAAATTTGTTGTCCAATAATATAAACATGCACACAAATTGGTTGGACACCAATACAAAAGCAATCAAGATGTATCACAAAAAATGGAGTATCATAGAAGAATCGATATAATAGCTTCAGTAAACCTATGCCACCAGCCTACTGTTTTTGCAAGTACTCCCATAAGCCCACTGTTTTTGCAAATTTTTGGGTTGCAGATACATTCTCCTATCGGTTAGATTCATTAATCCGTCCTTGATCACTATATCTCCCTCATGAAGTTGTCTATCGTGCCCAAAAAAAAAATATATATATATATATATATATATATATATATATATATATATATATATATATATATATATATATCAGTTTCGTATGGATATTTATCATTTTTATGGGTATTTTACACTATTTGTTATGGGTATTGTTGACCCTGTTATAGTATCGAAGAAAAATAGTAAAAATAATTACCACAACAATAACAAAAATACTCACAAAAATGATAAATCATCCACAAAAGTGATAATAGTTTTTGTACCGAGTAAAAGTGATTAAATTAGTTACTATACCAATGGTAAAAATATTCATAAAAGTGGTAAAAAAAACACCCACAACAGTGATAAATCACCCACAATAAGTGATAAATTTTTTTTTTGTTGTCCAAAAATTCCACAACACAACAAGTTATAAAAATATTTATGATGGTGGTCAAAATCGACTGGACTAAACTGTAGAACAGCCTGGAGCGTGGTCCAACAAGTGTGTGAGCATATGTAAGAGTGTGAGTGTGTATGATGCAAAAAAGAAAACAACGGTATAAGTGGTTTGCCTTAGCCGAAAGACAGTGGTTATGTTCACTGTAAAGGAGGCTCTTGCTCGTTGGAGATTATACTGTTACAGGGTGTTTGGCTTGTAGCCTTGTACAGGATATTGCTTAGGTTTCACTTAGTAGTTTTTTGAATTGCTTCCATATGAATTGTAATTCTATTGGTTATTTAAACAATTGGTAGTTAGGATTTCGTGTTGGTCCCTTTAGGTTGATTATGTGGTCTCCTCTTCGTTTGTTTTTGTCCTGGAACTGTGGTCCCTGATTTCTTTCTACACCCACTACTTGTTGATTACAGTACATGATCCGTCTCTACTATCTGTGGGTTTGTTCATAAGAGTTGTCAAGTAATATTCCCTTGTTCCCTGTCCACGTGTCATGCTGTAGTTTTTGCAAATTGACCCAGTGTTGTGATCCCATCTCCCTAGTTGATACCTATACTGAGCTTATTAGCATCGAGCCTCTTTGAAACTAGGTTGCAGCCCAGTTTGAGCCCAATAAANAAAAGCAATCAAGATGTATCACAAAAAATGGAGTATCATAGAAGAATCGATATAATAGCTTCAGTAAACCTATGCCACCAGCCTACTGTTTTTGCAAGTACT